CTGGTTTGTCTTTCTTGTAAGAAAAACATCTAAGTATAAAACCTTTTTCAAAACTCTTTAAAGTATAATTTTGACACAGGGCTCTTATCTATAGATACAGAGCCTCTGGTTTAACTAAAACATTTAGTAAATACTTTGTATAATTCTCAAATCTTCATCCAGAACCCTCTAGTTCTACTATAAGGACCAACCAGAGCCCCTATGGTTCCTTTCAAGGAACAACCAAAGCCTCTCTGGTTCCTCTTAAATCAGACACTTGTTCCAAAACATAGTTTATCCAAAACCATTGGTCATAGACCACGTATACCCCTTCTCAATAACATCAATACTATCATTTCTAATAAGAACTCAAATTTCTTGCAATCTTAAAAGACATCATAGCAAGAGCTATAATAACCACACACAATTGCCACCCTTATATCCAAAGGTACACCTCTCCTTGATATGCCACCCTTATTCCTCATCAAAATCTATGGATTAGTTCCAAACAAAGACAGACCGAAGTCACAACCGTCTTGATGAAACAGCCTCCATAGTTTTATCCACAAAATCTACAGATTAATCCCAAACGAAGACAGACTGAAGTCACAACTGTCTTGATGAGATGTCCTTTATAGTTTTCAACCAATAATGATTTCGAAACAGTTTTATCATCAAAACTTTCAAACTCAAGAACAATATGCTCTTTCAATGATTTCCAAAACGTCATATCTCCTTTAAATCCTCAAAATAGGATATCATTTCCAAAACTGTTTTAAAGAAGAAACCTCTTCTTTCTCTTTTCCAAAACAGTTTCCAATATTCAAATTTATAACCATAACACCTTTAAACTTGTTAAAACAGTTTTACCATCTTTTCTTCAAAACCAACATCAAAATCCAGCAGTTTGTATAACAACGTCTATAAAGTTTTAGTTATCAAAAACTCACCTTATCAAGCACAAATTCAGCAGATTATAAAACACACAGCAAATATTCAAACAACACAAAATATTCAAACTCTTTTGAGCAACATGTTTTCTTCAAGAACACTCTCACCGCCACAAACACACCTTTTTCTCTCTAAAATGTTTCTTTCTAAAAATAGAATGATAAGATAAGATCTTATCTCTTTTTCACTCTTTATATATTTTCACAAAGGCGGTGGAGTCTTTTTATTATTATAAAACTCACAGGCAATCGGGTTTTGTTATTTTAAAACCAACTTTCTTCACCACGAATATAGTATCTATTTTAATAATATATTCCACATAAGCATGTTACCGCACATGCACCTTCACATTATTCATGTATGCATATTATCATATACACATACATATCATCTTCTCACATGCATGCATAGCATTATATTCATACGCATATATGATCCATGTATTTCTAAATTAAACATGCATACTTCACATAATAACCACGTATAAATTATCTCAACCCAGGTTGTCTGAAACCCGGTTATAACAGAAAGCCTGTAAACGTAACTGTTTATAGAGGAATGATCGGCTCTCTGCTATATCTCATAGCTAGTCTACCAGATATCATGTATTCTACTTTCTTATGTGCATGATATCAATCTGAACGTAAGGAATCCCATCTGATTGCTGTAAAACACATCTTCAGATACCTGAAGGGAACTCCTAACTTGGGTATCTGCTACCCTAAGGGTTCAGGTTTTGACCTAATAGGTTATTTGGATAGCGATTTTGCAGGTTGCAAGATCGATAGGAAAAGCACCACTTGGAGGCTATCAGCTTCTAGGTGGAAAGTTGGTGAGCTGGACAAGTAAGAAGCAAAACTCACTGTGTACATCAACCGCTGAAGTTGAATATGTAGACGTTGGTAGTTGCTGCGCCCAAGTTCTTTGGATGAAAAACCAGTTGAAGGACTACGATTTTCAGTTCTCGAAGATTTCTATCTATTGTGATAGCACTAGTGCTATTGCAATCGCAAACAACCCTGTACTTCACTCCAAGACCAAACATATAGAGATCAGATATCATTTTATCAGAGATCATGTTATGAATGGTGATATTGAACTTCACTTTGTTCCAACTGATTATCAACTCGTTGAGCTTTTCACCAAGCCTCTTGATGACACAAGATTTAACATCTTGATCACCGAACTGGAAATGCTAAACGTTGAAGAATAATTTTCTTCAGCTATATACATCAGTCAGTAAGTGAAATGATTCAGTGCTCTATATCTATCACTAAACTCTTGAGCAAATGTATCTACTCTCTCTAAGGTATGTTTACTTATTTATTTTCTCTTAAAACTATCACTGAAGCTTTTTTTTTTCAGTGATCAAAATGTTTTAGAAGTTTGTTTTAGTGTTTCTTTCATTCGCTGAACATTTTTATGTAAGTATATCTCTTTCATACTTATCTTTTCTTAAAAACAAAATAATAATTGAACCTTTCATTTTTCAGTGATTCAAATGTTTTTAAATGTCAGTCTCAGTGATTCTTTTATCACTGACACTGAAATCCTCTTGAAGATATATTCTAAATAAGACTCTTCGCTTTTCTTAAAAACCTTTTTTTTAAATAAATAGTTAATGAACCTTCTTAATGACGACATTCTCTGTTTACAATGCGCAATGCTTTGGGAAGCGCAAAAAGGTCTGTCACACGCGACCTCATTTATTACCATCCAATCATGGATGAGAACGTGTCATATTTTTCAAATCATGGCCTTTTCCTCAATCGTCGTATTTTTCTCTCTCCTACTTAGCTTCTCTTTCCTTCTACCTATAAATATGGGATCTCTTTCTCATATTTTTTTTCATGCTTTCAAATATCTTTGACGAAACTCTGTCTTTTTGCAAGCAAGAACTCAAGAACAACTAAGAAACTCATACTTTCGACCTCATTTACTACTCTAAGGTCGATATCTTTCTTTGTAACTTAGAATTGTTTCTTCCTCAATCTATTGAGACATATATTTGTCATTTTTAAGAACTTTGTTCTCTTAAAAACAAACATAACAGATTATTAGCACATTCTTTTTCCTGGTTATGATCGTGTTTCAAAAACTGTATTCAACTTGAAAAACCCTAATACTTCATTGTGGATTTTTCAAAAGAAGTTTTATTGTTCAAAACTTAAAAACAATAAACAAATCTTGGTCTACTAACAACTGTTTTCTCTCTTATTTCTTACCAAAAACAGAAATGGCTGCCAAGAATGTCAACTTCTCCATTGAAGACGTTTTGTTCAAGGCTAACAACCATGTTGCCTTGTTGGACATCCCTTTAAGAAAAATAATCTATGAGGACACTGCTGCTTTCCTCAAAATGTCCCCACTCTCCTTTGCTCTAAACCATGAACCTGTCATGGGTAGTCAGGCCCTTCAGTAATTTTGGTTTATTGCTGAAGTGGTGCAGGAAGAAGACAAGCACGACTGACAGGTGGAGAAAATCACCTTCACTTTCAACCGTATGACTGTCAACTTTGGGGTGGCCACCATGAGGCACGCTCTACGTTTCTCAAAGGGCCCCTTTGATAGCAAGCCCTCTACATTCGAGATCATTGCCTGTCTTGATGCTATTGGTTATCAATGGCCACTAAAGAAGGACATGAACGAGCCCATCAAGTCCTTGAACAATATATAGAAGAACAGAATGTCAGCTGTCTAGCAGTACCTGTTCTCCCACTTCATCCAATCAATGGGTGGGAAAACTGGCGGACAGAATCAGGCCTTCTGTTTCGCCCTGACGATTGGTGTATTCATGATTCAACGTCATGCTATATATTATGTTGCGTCATTTTCGATGACCTGCTGCTAAATTTGAACAAGCACCAGCGAGAAAAGGTGGTTCCCTACACAAGGTTTCTCTCCATGGTTTTCGCCAAGATTTTTGGCAAAAAATATTCCAAGGAAGGTAACCTCCCAGTGTGTAAGCTTGGATCCTGGATTCTAGATCATAAGCTTAAGGAATGAGATGTCGCACTCTCCTTAGTGGTGCACTTCTCTCCTCCTTCTCCTCCTCAGGTGGTGAAGACAAAGGCAAACCCCCTGCGTCTATCCCAACCACCAAAATCCCTTCTTCCAAGCGACCTTCTCAACCAACTATTGGTTCTCCTGAGAGAGCCAAGAAAGCCAAAAAGAGGATAGCCACATCTCTGGCTGTGACCTCTCGACAGGTCTCAGCTATTGAAACTAGCCTTACCCCCGAGGCACTTCCAGCTAGTTTCCCAAGCTCTTCAGTAACCCCTGAAATCACTGTCGTATCAGTGGTACCTACCCTAACCGCCTCAGTGACCCAAATCACTGAAGGTGTGAATATCAGCGCCGCCACCGCTGACCACCCACAAGTTCTCTCATCCATCTTCTCTTCTTCTCCTTCTTTGGTCGCTACACATGTTCATGATTCATCTGCAAATGTCCTCCCTGATGATGAGACACACACCACTAGACCTGAGGTTGCTTCTTTCAAGGCTCCTCAGTATACAGATGCTCATCCTCTCGAGGGCATCGTGGAGCAAGCCAGTGATAATCCTTTGGATGTTGCTAATGTCCCCTTAATTATTCCATCTTCCTACCCATTCAATTCTTCTAACCCTGAGCTTCTATTAGCTCACTCTCCATCTTTTTCAGGTCCTTCTGCGCCTCAAGCCATGGACGAAGAATAAGAGGAATACGACAAAGATGATGAATATTATGACATGGCTTCTGATGTCAAGCTCCTCCTCCCAGCCGTCGATACCAGTTTCTGTAAAATGGACGAAGTCCATAGAGACATGCCTTGCAAGGCTGATATTGTTGCGGACCTCTTAGTTGTCAAAGCTGAAGTTCAAGAAGTAAAGAGCCTGCTCTCCTCTCTTAAAGAGGCTATTCGAGCCAATGTTGAAGCCATCGCTGCTCTCTCTAGTAGGGCTGATGAAGCTCAGGCTTAGTCTCTCCACCAGACGGAGCTCCTCCAACAAGTCGTGGTTGTTGTTTGCCAACCAACACCAGTGATCCCTCCCTCTTTCATCGTTGATGATCGCGCTCAGCTCAATGAGATGCGAGAAGCGACGACCAACCTAGCCAGCGCTCTAATGCAACTATATGAGATTATGGTTCTCCAGCTTCAAAGCGTGGACCAACTCTCTGACCTATGCTCTCAAGCCTTAGCCAGAGAGGGGGAGATAAGGTCCAACGCTGCTGCTGGACCATATGTTGAACCAACAACCAACGAAGCTGAAGCAGAGGTTGCTTGTGATATCCCAACCTCCGGTGAAGCTGCTATAGATGAGGAATTTGATGCCATCCCTCGTGATGATGACCTTCCCATCACCTCTGCACCTATTGCGGGTGATGTGGAAGAAGAAGTTGATGAAGAAAACGATGATGAAAGTGATGAACCTGATCTTCCAGACTCCAACAATGATCTTGATGGCGATGACGACGATGATGATGAAGATGACTTCACCATTCAGTTCCAGCGTCCAACAACCGCCACCAAAGGAGTTGCCCTCAGATATTCCACATCCCAGGGGGGCAAAGGGAAGAAGAGTTTGCGCCTGAAAGGAACCAGGGACCTTCATCGAAAGGCAAAGGAGTATCTGAAGAAAGGAATCTGAAGGTACTATTTCAACACCCTCAACCCTTATATGATGACTTTACCTCTCAGGTAGTCATCACCTCCCTCTATCAACTTGACATTCCTTCTACTACCTGCGGTCGGCTGGAATGGGTCCTTGAGATATGCGCTCCTACCGACCAACAGATGACTCAGCTCAAGGAGCCACTCGACCAGACTAGAGTAAAAATTCGTCTTCGTACCTCTAGTGGTGGTGAGTTCGACTTCCTGACAGAAGCTAAAAGACTCGAGGGATTAAGAGCTGAAGAAGAGCTAGAGCTTCAAAAGAAGCAGACTAAGAACAGCCTAAAGCTGGCCAAATCTCTAGTTGAGAAAATTCTTCCAAAGAGAAAGTCCAAAAAGAAGGTGAATGTCGTCCAAGCCCAACCTCAGCTACTCTCTCTTGCAGAAGCTGAGCATGAGAAAAATCTGAAGCTGGCTGAGCGGGACAAGCGCTAGAGCGAAGCTAAAATGAACAAGAGAATTAGTCCTCACCGAATCAAGAGTGTCAGCATCAACGAACGATCAAAAGACAGTGGCACGCTACTCTCATTACTCATCACCAAGGACAATCTCGATGGTGTGACCGAGTACCCTTCCTACCTTGGCCAATATAGATACAGCGAATGGCTAGAGATCAAACAAGCCATTCAGCGCTCAAAATCCAGACATAAGCCGATTATCGAAGACATCATCAACGATCTTATCAAGAAGATGTCCAGGTATGTCGAAGTCCCTGATAGGCCAACACTGAAGAAAGGAGGAAGGAAAAAAAGACCCTCTAGTCCTAATGATGGACCATCCTTGAGGAACGAACATGAAACAAAGTTCTCCTTAGATGAAGTCATGAAGGATCGTGAGAGTCCAGACATCTCTATGCTGAATCATGAATTGCCAGCGAAGGGTCCTTATACACCCAACACTGTGCACTTCAAACCTGAGTCAGGAGTTATATTCCTTGACTATGAAGGTGAAGTATATTTCAGAGAATGTTTGAGTTACATCTATGTCCTATGGAACACCTCGTATATCTTACATTCTGGCTAGATGATAACTTGAAAGGAAGAATTATGTACCGAAGGATAGGAAGGGAATTTCTACGTCGAAAGAAGCTTGGAGAAGATGTACCTGGCTACATTAATCTAAACAACTTAGACTAGTTTATTTTCTTTGTAATATTGTCCATGTATTGTAATCCACTTATTAGGTCCACCTTCAGTGTTAATCTTATATTTTGTAAGTTTTAGACATGTACTGAACGTCTTGTAATATTTCCCTTGAAATTAATATAAGTGTTTTTTTGTGCATCACTGAAAAAGATCTCTGAAAAAAGTAATAGGGACACAAGTCTATGAGTTCCATTGTTATTTTTACATTCACTGACAATCTATAAGTTAGTGAATAAGCTTTCCGTTTCAATTTCCCTTATTGTAACTTTTCTTAGACTTAACTTAAGAAAATTTTCTAAGTAAAGACTGACTCACTGAAAAAGATCCCAAAATAGTTAAAAGGGATGTGTACTTTATTTGTCACTTATCCTTACTTTTATTTGATAAGACAACTTTCTTTATGTTGTCTTGTTATCATCAAATAGGGGATATTGTTGATCATCTCTCTCATTGATTTGATGATAATCCCTTTTACCTTATACGAAGTATTTATGTTTCTGTTTTTCAGTTACAGCGATCATCACTGAGTCTGTTCAGTGATCGTTGAATAATTTGTAATGTAAATCCAATCAGCGACAACGATACTTTAAGAAGACAAAATTCACACCAAAGAACCTTCAACAAAAGTCGAAGATTAAAACTGAAGATTAGAGACTGGCGAGTACATGATCTGAAGCGGTATTCAGTGATTACAACCTTGTCTACATATGTGTGAAGACTGCCCAAACCTCAGCAAAGGACAAACCCATAGTACGGTACGGATCTGATTAGTTGACTCTATTACCCACCAACTTTGTGAAAAGATGTCTACTCATGAGTAGGCTTTTGTACTATTCACTGTAGCAAATGATAAGTCTTTCTCTAAAGTCTTGACATGTGTTTAAACCCTACCACGTTGCATTAAATGTGCATTTAATGCAATGGGTATAAATAGATGTGTTCTATCTCCATGCAGAGATACTCCAAACTCTAAACTTACTTACACTTAAGTAAAAGAACACACACATCTAAGAACACAATACGCTTATCTTGAAGAGCAAGTTAGAATATCTTTGTTGTATTCTAAATAATTCTCTCCCAGATAGAACTTTCTTTCTTCTAAGTGATTAACAACAAATCTTTTCTTTATTTGCTAAGAATTAGTGTGTAACTTTAGATTGTTTAGATAGGTTTTATTTACCTTATCTTTCCGCAAACAATTTTGTAAAATCTGTATTGATCCTTCTTTATCAATATATATTTTAAATTTGAAAAGTTTACAGTGTTTGTATTTATTCCCCCCCCCCTTCTATAAATTGTTATACACATCTTGTAGACCCTAACGGGACCAACAAGAATTTTCTATAGACAGTGTGCAGATCCCTTTTTCACAGTACTAGCTTAGGAAAAAAACAATGTTTCGAGTCCTTTACAACCATAATCCACTCTATGTGTAAACTACATGGTTGTAATAGACATACGGGGAATTTCAGTTGTATTGGACACCTCAATTGGATCTACGATTTATTTAATACGGATTTTTGAACTACCTGGTTCATTGTAGCTACTGGGATAGTGCACCTCCCATTCGGTTTTAACATGTTTTGGCCATTCCTTAAATATCACTACATTTGTTTGAGTATCAAAACATTGAGAGACTTATATAAGGGTTACCAACTTACTCCCAATAATAAAAACTAATGGCCTATATTAAATTTATAATCCATAGCTCCATTAAATGCTTCAAAACAAGAATTCAAACCATATAGAGTTCCATATATGCCATGCAAAGTTGATGGGTTTGATTCAAATTTCTTGTATTACACTTTCTCTAAAGGCTTAAATCTTAGGTTAGGGTTCTCAACAACATTTATCTAAAATTGATGGAACCTCCAAATCTAATCAACATACCTTGTTTAACTTCTTTATAATCAACCAATTTAAACTCATTTTTCTCATCCAAAGATATTTAAACCTAATTCCAAATCAGATTTATAAGCTATAAACGGACATCCGAACAACTTCAAATGGAGAGATGAGAGATCAATGGACATATATATCTCAAATATTAGGACTCAAACCTTCAAAATCTTCAATCACTTGCTTGATTCTCCCATGAAATCAAGGGCGGAAGGCCATATAGGCCTTTAGGGGCCATGGCCCCTAGGCGTTTTGATTCATTAAGTATACATATTTTGGGCTTTTAATTGTTAATTCCAAATTTTTTTAATCCGGCCACCCTGCACTGGAGTCCACTAAGCTTTTAATCCAGCCCAACTAAAGTCTAAAGTTGTTGATTCTTCATCGCCACATGCCCACATGACCATAAACAGACTTACGCGAGCAACTTATGAACAAAATTACAATCTCCAGTCTCCATTATTGAAATTACAGACCTGTTGATATATCATCCCTCCCCGCGTTGACTACTCTCGAGTGAGTCGAGTCTCGACTTCTAGCCTCTCGCGGTCTCACCCTCTCCAATCTCCAATCTCTAAGAGCAACATGAAGAACCAAATCTGAATGCAAGTGGTATCTATATGATTTTAACTTCATCTTTATCAAATAATCCGATTACAACCCCTAAATCACCCGGGGGGGGGGGGGTTTCCATTCTATATTTCTACTCAAGTTTTAAGATGCTATTGTTTGTAATTGTTTGATTAATGATAAGGTCAAATTTCTTTGAAATTGTTTGATACTTTGAATGGGTTTAAAATGCTATTACTTGAGCCAATGAGCCTTTCAAGCGGTTGCATTTAGAGGACACAATGAAAAGTTAGATTCCATTAACGGGGGAAATTTTCTTGAAATGTTGGAGGCACTTGGTGAGTTTAGCACCGAGCTTAAAGAGTTATTTTGTGTGCTCCCAAATATGCATCATACACACCACTGTTGATTCAAAAAGAAATTTTGATCTTATATCAAATAAGGTGAGACAAATAATTTATGAGGAGATTGGTGGTCGAAGGTTTTGTTTACTTGTTGATGAAGCATGGGATGAGTCTTATAAAAGAGCAAATGTCTATTGTTTTGAGATTTGTTAATAAATAGGGATTCATTATAGAGCGTTTCTTTGGACTTGTTCATGTACGTGATACTACAACATAAACGCTCAAGGAAATTGTGGAGGACTTCAAGGTCGCGAAAGATCGATGGGTTTCACTTTGATTAGCGATGTTTGACATTTTCATATATGACATCTAGTTTTAAAGTTCTACTACGTTTTGACTTTGGATTGTATATTTTTTGTATTTTTAAAAATATATAATATATCAGGTTCGGCCCCTACCGTTGGAAAACTTGTGTTCCGCCCCTCATGAAATTGAACTTGCATTCAAGAATTGGACACAATAAGAGTCGATGTGTAGAGAAGAAATAAGTGTAGAGGATAATGATTTAGAGATTTTAATTTCAGGTTTTTTATATTTTCCATATTTACATAACTGACTCTTCAAGTTTGACTTATTGCAATTCTCACCCGATTGAAGGATTCCTTCACATTCTAAGTCTTAATTCATATTTGTTTATAGATGTTTAACCTCCAATGTACCACTTCCATGAAAAGTTTAGTTTGATACAACACCAGAAGCAACATGTAAGCAAGCTATTATTGCTTCAATCCAGATTTGAATGTTTTTAAGCTTCATATCAAAAAGATAAATGAGAGATTCTCGTATTACAATGTTTAACACCACTTGCAATTTATATTTTATTTTAACATAAATTTTACATTTTTAATTAAAAATTACGTTACTCTTTATTTTTATTAAAGCAAAATGCAT